GAATGGAACTCGAGAAAATACTGACAGCCAGGTAGCCACTTAAGGACCAAACTTGGCTTGGCCATTCTAATCTCTGCTGATGTTTAGACACACATCTGTCTGTCTTCCAGAAAGGATTTTACAGAACTCCACATTAGGCACTGCTTTTCCCATCATCATGCTTAAGCAAACCCAGCTACACTCTTTGACACAGAGTTCAGCAAGCTTACAGACTTCCTACATTTCTCATCTCATTTTCTCCCCAGTTCTCTCACCCACCTTTCCAGCAGGATCCACCTCCGCCAAACCACTCTTGAAGGCTTCCATTTCAAAGGCTTCCAACAGGCCACACAGCAAATAGCAGTTCATCTTAAGAGCATTGAGGTGAGCATCTCGGTCTGTATGGCTTAGCCCAGAATCACTGAAGATGGTAGAAAGCTCATTGGAATGATGAGTCACCACTGGAGAAAGATAGAAAAAGATGAACATTCTTGGCCAGGTTCCTCAGCCATCCTCTCCGTTGGAGACTTAGAGCAGTCATCAGATTACCAAAGATGTGTGCTCACATCTCACCAGCTGTAACATGGGCTGCCTCCTACAGCCAAAACCTCAGAGGCACGTTCCCATCCTGTTCCCCAGTCACCAGTCAGTTCCTAGAAGCACTTGCTCAGAACTGACACATCCCAAGGATTTATTTCCCAGGGACACAGGGAAGGGGATTTTCTGTCGGCCTGCCCTTACAGCGAACACGCACAGCTCTGCATTGTCCACCAAGATTACAGACCCGTATACTGGAATGGACTGAAGGAGCAACCCTGCCGGTTGAGTCACATTAGCCTTTATATCATCATCAAACTGCTGCCCGGGAGCAACCTCCCTGTGACTCCAGTTTTGCCCGAAGATAGCAAACACCCACCTTGCATCATCAGCTCCAGGGCATCCTCCTTGGCAGCGGTATCCAGGGCTCGGAAATGGCTGCGGGGCAAGCACAGCTTATCATGGCAGCAAGAAAACGCCACAGGAAAGAGGCGGCAGCTCCCGGCCCCCCTCCAGCCTCCAGGTCCCTCCGTTCGCTACTTACCGCAGCAGGCTGTAAACGGCGTCGAAATGCTGCAGCACAGCCAACGCACCCCGGCCCCGGAAGGCAGCCCGGAAGGCTACGGGGAGACGAGGAGAACGTGAGCGAGGGGCGGTGCGGGGACAGCTGCGAACCGCCGGCAGGGCCGGGTCTGACGGCGCCTGCTTTGCCCGGGCTTAGGCCGGCCGGACCTCGAAAGGCCTAGCCCAATAGGGGAAGGGCTCGGGCCTTACCTGCGATGGCGGGCGGCAGCTCGCGGACAGACAGTACCTCCTGCACGACATAGTGACGCGAGCTGTCGCCCCGCAGCAGATCGTCAGCGGCGAGGGGCAACTGGAACTCGCACGACGCCGCCGCCATAACCCCGCACGGCGCCGCGGCCACAGGCGCTCGAAACCGCGCGCGCGGATCACGCTCGCCCCACCCGATTTCCTCTCCCGGCCTATCAGCGGCCGGCAGCACCGCGGCCTTTGCGGGGCCTCGACCAATCGTCGGTTCCCTTCCCACAGCGACCGTTAGCGCAGCACAGTCCGCTTCCTTCCGCTTCGTCCGGGTCACCGCCAAGATGGCGGCGCTGGTGCGGTGTCTGATGCGCCGGGCCGCGGCCCTGCCCCAGGCAGTGCGGAGCGTCAGCGGTGGGGGGCAGCGCTCCGAGCCTTGCCGCCCTCTGCCCATCACCTCCCCGCTGGCCGGGCTGCCCCGCAACTTTCGCGTTAGGGAGCCCCCGAAGCCTCGGAAGGTGGATCGGTGGACGGAGAAACGGGCCTTGTTCGGGGTCTACGACAACGTGGGGATCCTGGGTGAGGTGTCCCCCCTCCGGCTGCGGGCCCTGGGCGGGAGGGGACGGCGCCCGGGAGCAGCTGCGAGTGAGCAGCTCGTCCAGTGAGTGATCAGGGCCTTTCCCAGATTCTGCCTTCAGCCTTGACCCTTTTATTCTCAGGCGATTTCCACGTCCACCCGAAGCACCTCATAGTGGGGCCCAGGTGGCTGCGAGGCTGGCGGGGGAATGAGCTGCAGCGGTGCATTCGCAAGAAGCAGATGGTGGGAGATCGGATGTTCCTGGATGATTACCACAATCTCAAAAAGAGGATCCGGTTCTTGTACAAGCGCTTCAACCGCACTGGGAAGCACCGCTAGGAGAGACTATGGGTGTGGCGTGGGGTTTTGCGGTGTCACAGTCAGAATAAAGCCATATTTCTTGCGGCTTTGTTCCTAGTGTTTTCTGCAACCTCTGCTGTGTATTTCTGGCCTAGCCCCAAGGTTCTGTTGCTGCGCCAGGCCTGAGCTCTTTGGAAGTTCAGTCACCTTAGTCATGTCTGACGTACTTCTCACAGTGCCAACCTGCATCTCTTAGCTATTGTCTGAGAGTCTTCCAGTTTTTGGCCAGGCTTCTAGCTTCCTTTCAGTCATTTATTAACCCCAGGTTTTCAGTGTCCTACTCAGCAATTTCAGTAAATGTCATCTTAGATTTTTCCTCATAAGCCAAATTACCAAGTTAGTGATGAGCATGTCTCTCAATAATACCTCTCAGTGCTCACTACGTGCCCCCTGACCTCTGCATATCTGTGATTGCTATCAAGTCTAAATGAAACAAACATTAACTGAAGTACATCAAAATGTGTTTTTAGAACAGGACGTGTGTATTTCATAATGATAATGACTTGACCTTCCCTTAGTTTCAGCTGGGACAGAATTGTTTTCTTCAGAGTTTCTGGTGTTATGCTGTCTTTGAGTCTTGAAGAAAACATTGTTGGTAACATGTAAATGTTTATGGTTGCTGTTAAGCAGTGGTGTATAGAGGCAAGGCAGTTCCCAGGGAAAGGCCCAAGGAGCTGGAAGGAAACAGAACTAGGATGGCTGAATTAGACTGGCCAAAGGGATACTCCATACCACATGATATCATGCAGAATGACTTTTAAAGGGGTTCAGAGTTCATCTCACTCTTTTCCATTACTCAGGGTGCTACATTGGCATCGGTTAGGGGGTGGTGAGCAATTGCTTGTGCATCATTTGTTTTATGCATATATAACGAATATATATATATCATATATATGTTTATATATATATGTATATGTACTCATAACTATTTTCCTTTATCCTATTAAGTCGGATACCCACAAGTTCTACCTTTTTTGGTTGGTAGGTTTTTTTTTTTTTCTTCTGATTCTCTCCCACATCCTTCTGGGAAGGGGGAAACTGAGCAAATGTCTCTGTGTTGCTTAGCCACCTGCTGGGTTAAAGCACAACAAACCTCAAACTAGTGACACTTAACAGGCAAGTGTCTTTTTGTTAATTTAGGCACTTAACTGGTTCGTGAAACAGTGAGTCAAAGTTGGGATCCTTCAAGTCCAGCATCTTTTTTCTCATGAAATTTACTGTTATATGCTGCAGAAGAATTAGCACAAAATCTCCAAGATGAGCATGCATCTGCCTAAATAATAGCTTGACTGCTAGGTAGTTGGAGAGGTTACCTGCTGACAGCATATTCTGTTACAGAGCAGTGTTGCTCTATCTTTAAAAGCACTTGGTTGAAAGCAGCAGGGAATGAAAAGAACTTTGGGTCTGCACCTCAGGAAGGTGAACCCAAATTCTTTATTCAAGCAACTTCAAATTCCACATTCTCAGGAGCAGTGTAGCATACCTGTGAGTCAGTTTTGAAGGAAGCCCGGTTCTTAAAACAGTATGTGCTCTGTTCTAATATGCAGTACTTCACTTGAGAAAGCAGTATGAGGTGGATTGTTACTCCTACAGGAAATAAATGGCAAATTTAGCAAGCCAGAGAAGCTGTGGTCATTATGGCTGACCAACACAGACTGCAGCCGCCTGTCAGATTGGTGAGTTATGCTGTCAGAACAAGGCATGGTTCAAAATCTGACGGGAGGACAGATCTTGTGTCTGATGCTTCTCACATCCAGCTTGTGAACCACCTTGAACTATGGCCAGAAGACTCAAGTGGAGACCAAGCAAGCACCTGGAAGAGGTGCAACAAATTTGTAGCTGAAAATACATCAGAAACTGAGAAGCATCAGCGCTGTGGGCCTCAAGGGAACATGCACTAAGAGAACCAAACCAGTAGTTCTGCAAGTTTCACCCTCTGTTATTCCCATGCTTTTGCCACACTGAAATGCATTCTTTGACATTTGGGAGTCCGCACCATCTGGGCGTAGCTGCAGCTTTAACTTTCTGTATTCCTTGCAGCCCATGCTCTTGGCCCTGAGGCTGTAACGTGCAACATACTGCCTCGTGTATCTACTAATCATCCAAGTTTGTCATGAAAAACTTTAAACAATGTCCTGCTTCACCTTAAAGAAACGTGGTTCAACATAGGTCTGACCTGACTGCTTGCTGCTGCACAAAATGCTGCATGGAAACTTCTAGTCCTAGCATATTTCTGCTTGCCGTTTTGCAACCAAATGGAAGAACGCTCCCTTCTCATCTGGTAGGTTTCCCAAAATCTCGAGAGGAAAAAGCCAAACTCAGAGCCGCTCTCGGGACTGCTGCCAGAGCCTAATTTCCCTCAGCTGGCAGCCAAGGCTTGAACGCAGCCGCTTGCGAGGCCTCATTCAGGTTTTCCTCCACGGCGGCAGCACGCCAGCAGCACCATACCCGGATTGCTGCAGCACCCGCGCGCAGCGGACTGTCGCGGCGCTGAGTCGTGCTCCGATGGGGCGGTGCCAACCGGGGCCGGGGCTCATTCCCGGGGAGCGCGGGGACAGCGAGAGGCGCGATTTAGGGAAGCGGCTTTCTTCGCAGACGTCTCGCTGCGGCCGAGCCGAGGCGCGACGATTGGCTTCGGAGTAAGAGAGGGCGGTGCTGATTGGCTGGTCTCGGCGAGACCTTCCTGTGCTTACTTCTGACTGGCTGCCGGCCTGGTGGGCGGGGCCTCAGCCGCTATAAGTGAGGCGGCAGGGGGCGTACGGGCGCTTCTATCAGCGCGGTGGGCGGCGGCGTGCTAGAGTGCCGGCCGGGGGAATGTGAGTGTCTGTGGGGCGGGAAGCGGCGGCCGAAGATGGGGCGGCCGTGCGAGGGGCCGTGCGGGTTGGGACGGCGGGCGAGCGGTTGAGCGAGAGCGGAGCCGGCGGCCTGCCCAGCGGCGGCACGGAGAGTGGCGCATTGCAGCAACCGCGGGCCGGGCTGCGCGCACCGCCACCCCTCTGCCTGGGCGCTCCCGCTGCCCGCCCGCAGCGCGAGAGGTTGCGCGGGGCCTGTCCCTTCGTTGCAGCCCACTTCCCGGCTCCCTGCTGGTGGGGCCCAGTTCTGTCATCCCTCTCCCGACGCCTGCGGTACGCTGCGGGCCGCCTCCCCGTCACCTCCGTCCCTTCTCGGGAGCTGGCAGGGCGCGGTGCCAGCACGGCCCGGCCCGCAGCTGCTCCGGGGGCAGCTAAGGGAGGCTGCGGGCCCGGGGGCTGCTGCCTGCTCTCACTTTCGGCTCGGGTTGGGCATCTGTCCTTTAGCAGCTGAGGGTCTGATGTTATTTTCTTTCTGCCCTTGTGTGTTCCCGTAGGTCTGAACCAGCTCAGCAGCCTGCTCCTGGGGCCCCTGAAGGGGGTGCCCCTGCCGGGGGCCCCCCGGGGCCACCCCCCAATCTGAGCAGTAACCGTCGGCTGCAGCAGACGCAGGCCCAGGTGGAGGAGGTCAGTGGCTGTGCTGCTTCCCTTAGGCTGTATGGGCGCTTGCGCTACTCTGCTGCGGTGATGCTCTTGATAAGCTTATGTTGCTGAAGGGGTGGATGCTTTTGGAATACAGATACTGGAAAGGCACTAATAATCGATGCAAGCACAATGTCTGATCTGAAAACGGGCTGGAGCTGAGATGAAATGGCTTTATATTTAAGAGCTGCGTAACTTGACATCTAGACTTCTTGTACTTCATATGACAAGTCTGTCATAGAAATAAACCTCTACAGGATCCAGAACAACTCTTAATTCCTGCTAAATGAACAATCAGAGCGCGGGTTCAATGTAAAATGTGAATCTTACCTGACTTCACAGAGTTGGTGGCTGCTGACATGCAGTAACTTCTTTATGCCTCGTTGGGGCAGCAACACGTAGCTCTAAGTTGTCTTTGCAGTTACCTTCCACTGAGCATGTGATCGCTGTTATGGAGGGGGTTGCTATAATCTTGATGGACTAGAGAACTTCCAAAAACAAGTGAGAGCAGTGTGCTGCAAATGTAATGTAATTATACTTGAAATGATGCCTTAGCCCGCTTCTAAGTAGGCAATGACCTGCTTTTTTTTTTTTTTTTTTTTTTTCTCCTCATCTTTATTCTTTGCTTCGGGGTTGTTAGTAGTATCTCAGTGTTACTTTTTGGCTGTGTTACTGTTCTTACGCTTGCAACTCTGTTTACCACTACCACTACTGCTCCTGTTTTTACTTCTGCAGGTGGTTGATATTATGCGAGTGAATGTCGACAAGGTACTGAAACGAGACGAGAAACTTTCAGAGCTTGATGATCGGGCAGATGCACTTCAGGCTGGTGCCTCAGTATTTGAAAGTAGTGCAGCAAAACTCAAAAGGAAGTACTGGTGGAAGAACTGTAAGGTGAGTTTCTTAGTGTTGTGGTTTCTTTCATTGGAGGAAATTTAATTAGTTTTCTTCAGGGCTTTCTGAGGATAGCTGGGACATAATAACCATTATAACTATTTCAAATGCTTAGGATTATTTCACTGTGGGAAGTCTTTGAGCCCTCAGCTGTCCTGCCTTCAAGCATCTGCCTTATATTCCCTGGTTGTCATGGAATCTGTGAACTTGCCAATCTGTTCTGAGTATTACTATCTGACAATCTCTCTTTCTAGATGATGATCATGATGGGAGTGATTTGTGCCATTGTGGTGGTGGTGATTGTAAGTAAGTACTGAAAAGCCCAGGATCACAGGTGAAGAAGCCCTAGCTCCAGAGTGCTTTTAAAACTTTTGCTTTTTTTGGTTTATGATCTGGAGGGTCTTGTTTGCATAAGTGGTAACTTCTTTCCTTGGGAAAGGGAAGTAGTAGTGTTGGAACTCCCACATTACTGTGGAAATGCTATGTTCTACAGAGCAAGGAAAGGAAGTGGGGGTGGTCATCAATGCAGAAATTAGACAGCTTTATTATCAGGTCAAATAAACCTGTAAATATGAGGGATAGATACCTTGAAGTGGGTGGGTTTGCAAGCCCCTTTCCTGGTGGGGGATTTGGAGGTCTCTGGGGGACCTTTGGTGTAACTTGCCCTTCTGTTCTTTCCTTTTTTTTCCTCTTGCTTTGTGTCCAGTCTACTTTTTTACTTGAATGTAGCCCCTTCAGTCTGCAACCTGCTATCCCCTGTCACCTTGCCTGTCTCTTCTTGCCTCTGAATCTTCCCTTCCCTTCCACCTAGCTTCTTCATTGATTACTTTATTGGTTCTGAATTGTTGTCTTTTTTAAGATTATGAAGTGCTCTACTGATCATGGGTTAGACTTCCCAACAGCTGCAGCTTAAGAGGGGGTCATCTGAGCTGAGAGGAATAGGAAGCAGAGGAGGAGTGGGTGGCTATTATCCTGCTCTTCTGCAGGGAATTTGTGGCTTATTTTGGGGTGTAAGCTTGTTCAGTTAGTGCCTGTGTGAACTCTAACAAATAAAGAATGCCTTAATGTAGTGCCTTTGGGGATGCAGGACTTCATCATGTGAGATTCTTTTGCCCTGCATAAAGAGTGGCAACATGATGTATGCTTTTAATTGATGAAATAAAGGTTAGTTTATGCTGGTCAGTGACTATGATCCATCTGACTGAGCTAGACAGTCATCTAGATTTCTCTAGTCATGCAGGGATGAGCACTCAAGGAAGTGATTTATTCTGCCTGTTATAATAAATTTACTTGCTCTTTGAATGTGGACATTTCAGTTGTAATAAAAAGGAGTCAATGTGATTATCTCAGTGAAGTGCAACAGATTTCGTGTTGATTGAAAGGAGTTTTGTTGCTGTCTAAAGGGTCTGTGTGGGCATAAAATCTACTGCCAGAAGGAATAAATTACCAACAGCAAGGATTGTGGTGGTGTGTGCACATCAAATATTCCTTTCATCTATGCAGACACAAGCCAGGACCTTACAGCTTTCTACTGTCTTGCATCTTTCTGGAAGATGTTGGCATTAGTAGCAGAAAAGAGCATGAGTTGTGCTTTCCAGTGTTACCATGTTGAATGGCAAAGGAAGTCCACTACGTAGTAGATGAAGGTGAAGGAAACTGGATGTACTCCACATTAGACTGAGTCACACAGGTTTTTAAGAATACCTGTTCTGCTTCTCTGACCACAAAAGCCCTAACTTTTAGCAAGAGTTAGAAAGTATTTGAAGTGATTACTTAGGAATTCAAAGGGAAATGCTGCTCTGGCATGATATTGCAAAGTGACATTAGTTGCCCCAATTTGGCAGCATAGATCTCTAGAGGAAACTGAAATCTTCCTACTTGCTATGGGTTCTCTTGAGCTTAGATTTGGAGTGGTCTCTGCTGTAAATAATCTTAGTGTGGAATGCCATGGTTTTCTGTAAGCAATCTCCCATGCTTTCAGAAAGTGCAGGAGCTGTGAATTGCTCAAATATGTTGTCAAACCAGAGGTTAAAGGAGCTGTCCTGTTCCACAGTTTCCGCAGCTTTCTGAGGAGTGTATTTTTTTTTTTACAAGCTGAGCTGTAGCCCATAATCTGGACTGTAAAGAGGACAGCTCTTTAGTCGAGGAAGCTCTACCTCAGGCACAGAGTTCTGTCTAGGCTTAGGAGGATGTAGGGGAAAACATCACTGGCATTCCCAGGTGGAAGTACAAAAGATGGGAGGGGCAGATGCATTTTGTTGCACTGAGTATGCTGGAGAAGCCCCTTTCCTCCCCACAGGTTGTCTGGGGAGGGGCTAGGTTTTGCATGCTCACTTCCATGCCTCAGCATTTCATTTGCGCTGAGTTCATCTCCCTGCAGTTCCATCCCTCTCCACCTTGGGTGAGGGCAGAGTTGAAGATCTGCAGTGAAGCAGCCCTCGTCCCCTGAGCACTTCCCTAATTCCCTGTGGAACTGAGATGTGATGGACGGTCAGAAGTGCATCTGCTGAAGAGGAGCCAGGGTCTGCTTTGTACTACTTATGGCTAACATTCTAGGGGGTGGGCGTACAAGCTTGAGGCCCCCAGACCAGCAATTCTCTTGAACTTCTCAAAACAAAGCCGTTGGTGCCCCATTCCTCCTATTCCTCTGGGGGCTAAGGTCCCCTTAGGCTGTCTCTTCCATTTCTTTCTCTTGGATGTTGTATGTTGCTGTCTCTTCTGCTACCTTTCCCCTCCTTTGTGTCTCTATGCATGGGCAAAAAATTTACCAAGGCCCTCTGAGTAAGAGCAAGGGACTGTGCTGTATGCAGCATTACAGCCAATTACGCACGTGCAATTTATTTCCTTCCTCTATAAACACAACTGTAATCTCTGGCATGTTGTAGTAATCAACTCATGTACTTCAAACAGTCTCAAAGAAACACAGTTCATCACCTTACTGAGTCTGTCTGGTCTGTTAGTGGGTGGGGAAGGGCTGGGATCACAGACTGCTTTTAACACATTTTTGAACACGTTTTTTTTGTTGTCACTTCATTACCATATACGTAAGGAAAGTTCTATCCTCAAAGCAAGCAGCAGTCTCCTGTTGCCATGGTGCTGGCTGTCACTGGTACTGGAACTGTGTGTGTGGCTGACTCAGTGGTAAGTCTGTAACAAGACATGCAGACTAGAGGTTCCTCAAGCCTAGTCTACTTCCAGCCACCATGTCCAACTTTGGTGTAATGCACAGGGAGGTGATTCCCCAAACGGATGTGCTGCTGGTAGCTCTAACTTCTCAGGCTGTGTTGCCCTTGGGTTTCAACGACCTACTTGCAGGTCCTTAAATTTGGACAGTAATTTTTCACTGGGGTTGGGATGGCTTTTGGGCTGTACTCAGAATCTGAATGAAGATCTCCCAAAGCAGGATGATACTCACAGCATAGGTTGGAGCATGGCTGGAATTAAGGTAAGTACCCCCTTGTTTTGCTTCACTTGTACACTTGAAACTCATTAAGAAGAAATGGGCAGAACTTGGTTTAAACTTGTGCATTTATCTGCACTTGCTATTACAATTTTGAAGTTGTAAACAATCCTCCCTGCAGCTTGTGGATCAAAACATTTTGATTGCATCTTTGTCCAGGCTCAACTTCATTGCAGACCTATCAGAACAATGTATGTCTGTTGGTGAAATTGAAGCAGTGCTGCTTGAAGAATCAAAGCACTATTGAAGAGTAGGGATTCTGGACTGGCCTGTGAGTTAAAGTAGCACATATGTCAGTACAGATCAGGCCTGCACAACCAAGCAATTAGTTCTGTCCCATTTTTGCTGTGGGCAGGAAGGATTTTATTCTCAGAACATGTGAAGTCTCCATTCCATTGATGACATCATCTCAGAGTCCCTAGCCAAACCTGGAGACTTGTGCTCGCTCTCCAAAACTGGTCAGCTGTCCTTTCTTCAAACTTCCTTATGTCCAAACACAAAAACTTGTGTTGAAAATTTCCCAGCAACTCTTTCCTGCCCCAGATGTTGCTGTCTTCCTTCTCTTTACCTCTGCCTTTCCTGTCACACATGTTCATAGTTTCCTGGCTTATGTCATCACTCCAGCTACTCTCTTCATTCAAGTCTCTTTGGGTGCTCTGAATGCTCCTGTAACTTTTTTGCACCTGTGTATGGGACCCCTCTTATTTTGTTGTCCCCTGGTATTGTCTTACATCATCTCCACACCCTTACATTCTCAAACCCTGTTTGCTAGATGGTTGAACTGTTCAACCTCTCCTTCTCATATTACTTTCAATTTCCCTGGTCCTACTACACTCTCTTCTTTTCAGGTTCTTTCATTTGACCGGAGCCACCAAAATAATTAGTGTCCTTAAATTTTCTTAGAGTGTATTCCTTTTCTTACATACCATGACATCCAAATGCTTTTAACTGTATCGGCTTGCAAATTTTTGCTACTACCACAGTTCCACAGACATTTGGGCCCTTTATACCCCGTCTCAGCTGGTTCTTCCACATCCCAAGAGCTCAAATCCTTCTTCGTTATGTTTCAGCAGCATTCTTACTTCATGCTCCAACTTGTTCACAAGATAATTTCCTCTTCCGTACCTTCCCTTCCCCTTTAGGCATTTTTCCCTATGTCTGATTTTCCTAGGATGATGTGTTCCCAGTCCAAAAAGATCAATTCCCTTTCTTCAGTGTCCTATGACCAGCAGTTTTCCTTGTGTGTTTTCCGTGTCTTCTAAGTAACTGCACTGTAATGTTAATGTAACTAATCACTTTATCCTTTGTACAAATTCATAACTGAAAGTTGAAGGCTTTCCCCTCGTTATTCAACGAATATCTCTGAATGCACGTGTTCTTCCCTTTTCTCTAGTGTTTCATACGCTCAGTGAAACACTCAATTTTCTGCACTCATTCCAGCACTGCTGAACTCACCTCTCATCAGCCAGACCAAATTCACTGTGCATCTGTTGAGCTGATAATTTATGGCATAGTCTGCTTACAGCAAGCATAGGGATTTTCTTGTGAGGATCGCCTGATCTCTCACACAATGGCAGTTTTTGCACTAATCCTTTGGGCAGGTACAGCTAATCCAGCTGCCAACCTGTATAGCAACTTCATGTTTGTACAGGCCTTTAGTTCTGGATTTATAGCCATTACTTTGAGTTCATCAGTCAAAGCTCGTGTTTTAAATTTCACCACTTCTGCAGAAGAGATAATATGGTGCAAGCTTCCTCTAGGGAATTATCACTTTCTTCTATATCTGAAGAGACCTTAAATATCTTTCAAGTATCTATTGCCTCTAATTGATCTTTATTTAATTACTAAATTATGTGTGATGCAGTGGGTTGCATCAATGTTATGGTTGTCACAAGGTGCTGTATCATGTGAGGACTCATGCTTTAGTTTTCTGATTTTCTAAGAAGATCAGACTTGGTGTATGAATCATTATATGTTTCTGGTATAGAGACTGCTTTATGTGTTGCACTTGTTACTTCCAATCTTTCTTTTCTTGATTTGGTGGTGACTTTGTAGAACAACTGGCAGTGCCCAGTGTCACACTTCTGCTCATTCATGTACCAGTGACTTCCTGAAGCAAACATCAGTAATACTGAGTTTATGACCAGGAACTGGGCAGTGGGTGAAACATTCTAACCTCTTTTTGCTTTTGATCATTCAAGACTGCTTTAATTGTCAGTAAAGTTTTTTTTTGTTTGTTTTAGTTAGTAGTTCTAGCTCTTAACTTTGCTTCTTATCAGCATGTTTTCACAGAAAACAAAAGTTCCTATATTGAGTCAACTTTTAGGGTGGGTGTTTTAGTGTTTTTCTTTTAAACACTTGTAGAAGTCTCTTTTGTTTGTTTGTTTACAATGAAGGCTTCTCAGTACCTGTGCCTCTAAGCTGCAGTGCTCTCTCTGCTGCCATTCTGAAGAACAAGGATGCCAATGGCAGCTAATGCCCTTTCACCTCACCCTGCCAATTCCTGCTTCTATTCCCAGTAGCAAAACAGTATTTCTTCACTTACACAGAAAGGACCAGCACAGCACTGAGACAGAGTTTGAAAAACTAAGGTTTGAGTTTAGTGTTCATGCCTGTGAGGAATAAAAGCAGCTAGGAAGAGTGGAAAGTGCACTTAGGTAATCAAGGCAAGAGTTGTGCAACAGGCACGTTTGACATATCAAATGGGAGAATTAGGTAACAATACATAGTTGTAAAGTTCTGCGGGTTTCCAAGTGTGGGGCATCTACCTCAAATTTTAAAAGTATTCTAAGTTTTTCTTTGTTGATTGACTAATTTCTGAGTTCAAAAGAGGAGGCTGCTTGCAGCATGATTATGTACATGGATCTGTCTAAACTATATATTTGAATTCTGGTATCTGTGTCCAGTGAAGTGGATTTTCCTGTCTGTTAAGGACATCACCCTTGCTCTCTTTGGCATCATGTAAAGTGCTGTGTAAACACCATTGTCAACAGATGCAGCAGACTTTTTTTTTTTTTTTAAGAAAAAAAAGGCAAGCTTTCTGCAAACAATAAGGTGTATGCTGAGATCTCCAAATTGTTCTTTAAACTGAGGAGAGGGTCCTCTTCTAGAGGTCTATTCTCTTTTAATCTATTATCTTTTGATCAGGCCAGAGCTTTCCCTGAAAGCGTCTTACATCAAAGCCTGCAGCAGTTCTGTTTTATAATCCCTACCAGAATGAGAGGGCCCACTCTGGGCTGAGTTCAGTTCATCCTGAACCCTCTGGCAAACAAACGTCTGAATGTACGTATGTATGGTGTATCACAGGGAAGGAGACTGTTACACAGTGAAGCTCTAACAGTGTGCTATGGGCTGCTTTTTGTCCTGGTCTAAGAACAGCTACATGCTTCAGCAACCTCCCTAGACTATTGTGAATCACATGGACTGAGATTGCCAGCAGCCTCTCCTCTGGGAGTGGAGAGGATGTGCAGGCTCGGTCTAGAGATCAGAGCTGGCTGTTAAGAAGTAGGGAAGAGCAACCAGTTTCCAGCCTCAGGGGAAGTTTAAGGCTCAGCCTACTGAGAGACTTACATCTCTGCTGAGACTCTGTGTTGGTCCCTTGTCATACTACAGAGAAGGCCAATCACACCTGCCAAACCTCTTTAATTAATAACAGATGAGAACTGTAGCGGCATCTTTGTTGCAGAGGAAAAAAATAATGTATGCACATGTAAAGACTATAAGGAAGCTGAGTTGACATCTTCCCTTTGCAAACACTAGATTGACTCTCATCCCTGGTGATCCCAAGAGCAATAGTGTTTTACAAGACTGAAGGATTCACATATAGTAAAAGCAATTAACCACAATACAGTCTTCTGCTATGATCGAGGCAGAGCATCCCAAAAAGAATGAAAGGTAGGTCCCACTGAGAAAGTATACAGCTTCTGGTCCAACTGCCTTCTAACTGAATTATGAAATAAATCTCTGCCTCACTCGTGTCCTGTCTCACCATCCTTGCTTGGTCCGCATGATTCCAGGCTGTTGTAAGATGGCAGTGTGGTCACTACAGCCTCAACAGTGAAGCGGTGTGGAGCACCAAGTCCTGATGCCTCCTCTTGGAAGGCAGTGTTATCATGACTATTTGGAGGGGGCGTTGGGGAGGCGTGCCACCGCTTGGAGCGGAACCAGCGGAAGGCCAGGATGAAAGTGATGACAATGAAATCCAGAATCAGCTCTGCAAGCTCCATCACGGATAGGACAGAGGATCCAAACCAGAGACTCCACTGATTCCCAAGTTGGGACAAGAGAGTCACTACCTGCAAGAGAAAGAAATAGGGAGTGATGAGAGCATCATCTGTTGGAGGCTTTTGCTTCTCTGTCTGTAATCATTGCTAGTACCATCATGGCACTGGGGAGTTTTTCCCCATCTTTCACAGAAGAGACTTGAGAGTCAGCAGTGCTGCTGGAATAAACACCTGCCATGCAGATGGACGTTG